CTATTGCAGCCACGGCCCCTTGAAGTGCTGCGGGGAGGTGATTTAGGAGGATATTAAAGGCGACGTGGAGCTTCGGAGGCGCCTCTCCGGGCACAGATGGGCCGAGCAGATGAAACGCTTCCGTCCCATCGCGCTCGCCCGCGGGGCCCGAGGCTCGGAGCCGCGGTCCGAGCGCGCCGGAGCCCGTGCGCTTCGTGGCGCTGGGATTAACGCGGCGTTGCCACGCCGGCTCCTCAGCCCAGCCAGTGCCGCTGTTGTCTCCCAGCCCCTCCAGCTGCACCTTCTGCCGCCGGCTGGATGCGGTGCCATCGCTCCCCATGGATGCGGTGCCATCGCTGCCCGTGGATGCGGTGCCATCGCTCCTCGTGGATGCGGTGCCATCGCTGCCCGTGGATGCGGTGCCATCGCTCCCCGAGGATGCGGTGCCATCGCTCCCCGTGGATGCGGTGCCATCGCTCCCCGTGGATGCGGTGCCATCGCTCCCCGAGGATGCGGTGCCATCGCTCCCCGAGGATGCGGTGCCATCGCTCCCCGAGGATGCGGTGCCATCGCTGCCAGTGGATGCGGTGCCATCGCTCCCCGTGGATGCGGTGCCATCGCTCCCCGTGGATGCGGTGCCATCGCTCCCCGAGGATGCGGTGCCATCGCTCCCCGAGGATGCGGTGCCATCGCTCCTCGTGGATGCGGTGCCATCGCTCCCCGTGGATGCGGTGCCATCGCTCCGCGTGGATGCGGTGCCATCGCTCCCCGAGGATGCGGTGCCATCGCTCCCCGTGGATCGCTCCCCGTGGATGCGGTGCCATCGCTCGCTCCCCGTGGATGCGGTGCCATCGCTCCTCGTGGATGCGGTGCCATCTGCCATCGCTGCCCGTGGATGCGGTGCCATCGCTCCCCGTGGATGCGGTGCCATCGCTCCCCGAGGATGCGGTGCCATCGCTCCTCGTGGATGCGGTGCCATCGCTCCTCGTGGATGCGGTGCCATCGCTCCCCGTGGATGCGGTGCCATCTCTCCCCGTGGATGCGGTGCCATCGCTCCTCGTGGATGCGGTGCCATCGCTCCCCGTGGATGCGGTGCCATCTCTCCCCGTGGATGCGGTGCCATCGCTCCCCGTGGATGCGGTGCCATCGCTGCCCGTGGATGCGGTGCCATCGCTCCCCGTGGATGCGGTGCCATCGCTCCCCGTGGATGCGGTGCCATCGCTCCTCGTGGATGCGGTGCCATCGCTCCCCGTGGATGCGGTGCCATCGCTCCGGTGCCGTGATGCGGTGCCATCGCTCCTCGTGGATGCGGTGCCATCTCTCCCCGTGGATGCGGTGCCATCTCTCCCCGTGGATGCGGTGCCATCGCTCCCCGTGGATGCGGTGCCATCGCTCCTCGTGGATGCGGTGCCATCGCTGCCCGTGGATGCGGTGCCATCGCTCCCCGTGGATGCGGTGCCATCGCTCCCCGTGGATGCGGTGCCATCGCTCCCCGTGGATGCGGTGCCATCGCTCCCCGTGGATGCGGTGCCATCGCTCCCCGTGGATGCGGTGCCATCGCTCCCCGTGGATGCGGTGCCATCGCTCCTCGTGGATGCGGTGCCATCGCTCCCCGTGGATGCGGTGCCATCGCTCCCCGAGGATGCGGTGCCATCGCTCCCCGAGGATGCGGTGCCATCGCTGCCCGTGGATGCGGTGCCATCTCTCCCCGTGGATGCGGTGCCATCGCTCCCCGTGGATGCGGTGCCATCGCTCGACGTGGATGCGGAGCCATCGCTGACCGAGGATGCGGTGCCATCGCTCCCCGAGGATGCGGTGCCATCGCTCCCCGAGGATGCGGTGCCATCGCTCCTCGTGGATGCGGTGCCATCGCTCCCCGTGGATGAGGTGCCATCGCTCCCCGTGGATGCGGTGGCCTGTCCCTAGGTCAGCAGCAGCATCTTGCGCCGTGGTGCCTAGGGGTTGGTTGGGTTTAATCAGAGAACCCCAGCCTGGTTTGGGTTTGAAGGGATCTTAGAGCTCATCTGATTCCAACACAATAGGCAGGGATGCCTTCCACTAGAGCAGCTTGCTCCAAGCCTCATCCAACCTGGCCTTGAACACTGCCAGGGATGGGGCAGCCGCAGCTTCTCTGGGTATCCTGTGGCAATGCCTCACCACCGGAATAATTACTTAATATCCCTATTTTTTTCCCTAACATTTCTGGTATGTGGAGATCCTGATGGGATGCCACACATGGACCACAGTGGGATTGGATACACAGACCCTGGTGGGATGGGACTCTGCAACACCCTGGCACAGGCACAAGGGGAAGGAGCAATGCCCCAGCCCCAGCTGAGTGTCCTCAGCTCCTCACAGCAGCTGGGAATTGACTCATTGGAAACAAGTGGGAATCGTTGCTTTATATGGGGCTTTACCCTACAAAAGAGCAGTGTGATGGGGGCGGGCCATGGCAAAGGATGAGCATCACCCAAATTAACTCCTCTGGGTGCCATGCCAAGGAAATGGCGTTCCCAGCCACATCCCTCATCTGCCTCCCGCTGAGGACCAGTTCCCCCTTGATTCCAGAGCTTGCTGCAGCGCCGGGCTGGTTTTTGAGGTAAGGAGATGTATAGCTGACCTGGTATAAAACTCCCCGGTGTCAGCCGACCTCTCGCGCTCCCACCATCCCTCATGCAGGAATCAGATGCCTCCATTTTCCTAACCATAATGTATGGCACACAAGCACTAATAATGGGGCCGAGCAATCATAAACCGATAAGTCCCTGACTGATTGGCTTTTCCTTCGGCATCCATCAAAGCATCATTGATCTCCTATGTGAAGGGGGGTGATTAATGGGCTTCCCGAAGCCCAGTGGGGTTGTTTATGAGGGAGTGCGGTGGCAAAGGAGAGCTTGGGAGCATCAGCAGAGGAAGGGAGCTTGTGCTGCTCCATGAGGGGGGGTGGAAGGGTGATTGGAGCTGTGGTGGCTGCACACTGAGGGTCCCAGCAGGTGGGGGGACCAGAGGGGACAATTGGCTTCATCCCCACCTTTGGTGACTGGATATGGGGTGTCCTCCCCAATGGGGGCACAGGGCCCAGCTGTAGCTGGGCCATCCAGGGGCTCCACATTCCCACAGCATCATCTCTCCTGGGTGATGCTGGAGCAAGGCAGGGAGAGCAACCGGGTTGTGTTGTTTCCTCCCCCCCTCCCTTCCTTCTTCCTTTGTCAATGGAGATGAGCAGCATAAAGCTTTTATGGCCCCGTGCACCAACCCGCCATAAACACCCTGATGGTGGGCCATTATGGGAACGAGCGTCTGCTTTGGGTTCGCACCAGGGATCTTGGGAATGGAACAGGGAGAAGCGCTTCGAGGGGGTCTCATCCTTCTGGGATAGGCTCACAGCATTTCGGGAGCGGAGCTGGGAGGATGGGTGGTGGGGTGAGCCTCACATCCAGTTCCCTGTTCCATTCCAGCCCGGAAGGGGTTTGCTCATCCCTGCTGTGCTTCTGTGGCTGGAGCAGAGCATTGGCTTCGCTCTGCCTCTTGAAATGACCCAGGAGCTGGTGTAGCACCAGCACCCATGGGTGCAGCCTCCGAGCTCCTGCTGCCCTGATGGAGCTTGAGCATCCCTCTCCCTTCTCCGGGCGCGCCGACCTCACTGGAGCAATTCCCCTCCCAGCTAATGGCTTTTCAGCCCCGTCTGTAGCATCCCAACCAAACGACTTCCCCCTCCCCACCTCGGTCCACGCAGGTCCTGCGCACAGAGGCCCCATTAACGTGTAATTAGGTAGATCCCAGCAAAACCAGCCCCACATTCCCTCCTCCTCCCCTCCCTTTCCAACGCGGGCATCAGCGAGCGGGATGTAAATGAGAGCCGAGCTGAGGCTGCGCTGGGCTCTGCCTCGCTGTGCCAGCGCTCTCCTCGTTTTAATCGCTTAATAAAAATTAGCATAATTAAGGAACATCTGTAGGATGCAGCGCGGCGCAATTTGGCACTCGGAAACGAGGACTTGGCCGTCATTGCGGGGAGTTTAATGTTCTTTTAATTCTTCTTGGCACCGCGCAGTGAAATCAAGGCTGGGAGCGAGCGGCGCGGCCTCGCCTGGCTCCCATTTGCGTTTCCCTCCCCTGGTTGAGGAGCAGGCGAGGGGCTCGGCTGCCGCTCATCCCAGCGGAAGGGCGGGCTATGGCGGAGCTGGGGCTTGGGGGGGTCCCCATCAATCCTGGGGTGCGTCTCGGCCCCTCTGCCCAGGGAGCAGAGCAGACCAGGCAGAGCCCAGGTTTCCCTGCTGGGTTTGCAGGATTCTTCCTCGCAGGCTGCTGGGATGGGGCTCGCATCCCTCCGTGCTCCTGCTTTTCTATGGAGGGGGTGGGTCAGTGCGGTTTGCATGGGAGTCCATGGGGAGCAGGGGGATCCCAGCCCCAGCGGTGTCGAGGGATCCTTTCCTGGCTCCAGTGAGGGCAGCACCATCTGGAAGCACCAGGAGCAAAATCCATCTCTGGGGACTCAATCCTGAGCAAAGCCCTTTTTCTTTTTCCTGTTGGGAAGCAGGGATGAGGTTGGAGACCCATTAAATGCCCCAGGCAGGCGGAGGGACCAGAGCTCGTGTGGGACACGGGATGTGCTGCTGTGCACATCGCTGTTAACATCCATCTCCTTTACATAATACGTGAAAACCTCCTGTTTTGGTGCAAACTCCTCCTCTCACACACACAGGGAGTGCAAGAAGCTTTTCCTGTTACGATTTGCCTCCGGTATCTTCTGTCATGGAAAAACCTTGGGAAGGGGCACGTTAACCCGGCACGGTCCGGCTGCAGAGAGCTCCAGGCTGGGACCTGGGCTCTCATCCCAAGGGCTGCCATCTGAAATGAGATCTCCCAGTTCCCACCCCAGGGGGTGAATTGAATGCTGAGCTTCCACACCATGGCCCTGCAGGACCCTGGGTGAAGGTGGGGAATGGGGCAGGATGAAGGGTAGAAAGGGCAGTGATGGATTTAGCAGCATGCCAGCACTTGACCCCACTGTGTCCCCTCAGGAGTACAACGTGTACGGATGGTGGGTTGGAGAGCTCAACAACGCGGTCGGGATCGTCCCAAAGGATTACCTGGCAGCTGCCTATGACCTGGAGGAGCAATGAGGAGCCATCAGCCCAGGTGAGGGATGGGTCACAGGGGTGGCAGCTCTGTTCTGGGGTGCACCAGCATCCTCAGAGTGCTGAGCCTTGAGAGCTGCCTTTGGCTCCATCTCCTGGTCCCTGTTTTACACGGGAGCAGGTGAGCTCAGGAAAGCCAGGTGTGATCGAGGGATGATGCATCCATGCCCCATGGCCCTCAAATCCTTCAGATTCCATGGGGAGAAACGCGGTAGAACCCCAGCAGCCACCTCCACCAGAGCTGCAGCACCAACACTGACACCAACCCAAACCAGGCTGGGGTTTGCAATGATTCAAACAAAACCCATGATGAGGGAATGTGGGAGATGGGGAAGCTGAAGGCAGGGTCAGGGCTGGGAAAGCAGATGGGGTCTGCAGCCAAGTCCTGGTACCCACCTGGGGCAGCGAGACCTCCACACTCACCAAGACACATCCCAGCCTTGTCATCCCCTCTGTGCCACGTCAGTGTCTCAGTGTCCCCTTCCCACCATCAGCTCTGTCTCTCCCCTTCCCCAAATGCAGGTGCTTCTCTCTCCTTGACCATGCTGAGATACCACTGACAGTGTCCCCATCACCCTACAGGCACCCGTTGCATGAAGAGACCCACGTCCCATCACCAGAGCCCTGCCCTGTGGTACCCACAGCAGCGCCATCAGGGCACAGTGGGGCACGGGGGGTGGCACCCCACAATAAAGCCGTTCTCCTCTCCATGTTTGGCTGCTCCAGTCTTTGCCGTGGGGCCGGAGCTGGGTGCAAGCAGCGCCTTTTCGCCCCCAGCCCCAGCTCTGAGCATCCCCTGGTGTGGTCCAGGCCTGTTGGGATCCCCACGGCCGAGGATTAACCCGGTACATCCCGATCCTCCTCCTCCTCCTCCCGCACTTGGCTGAAGGGCCACTAGATGGTGGTAGGTACCTGCAGACCGCGGCCTTCCCGGGGAGGGTGCAGAGCCCTCCCGGGGCTGCACCGGAGCAGGAGCATCGCCCGCAGGGTGAGCCCGGGTACCGGCACCGGCGTGCGGGTGTTTGGATGGGGGGGACCCGTTGGTGCCCGGTTCAGAACAGGCGGGGTTGTTGGACCTGGAGAAGAGAAGGCTCCTGAAGGGGAGACCTTAGAGCAGCTCCAGTGCCTAAAGGGGCTGCAGGAAACCGGGAGAGGGGCTTGAGACAAGGGATGGAGGGACAGGCCAGGGGGAATGGCTTGAACCTGCCAGAGGGGAGACTGAGATGAGCTCTTAGGCAGAAGCTCTTCCCTGGGAGGGTGCTGAGGCGCTGGCACAGGGTGCCCAGAGAAGCTGTGGCTGCCCCATCCCTGGCAGTGCTCAAGGCCAGGTTGGAGCAAGCTGCTCCAGTGGAAGGGGTCCCTGCCCGTGGCAGGGGTTGGAACTGGGTGAGAAACTCTCCCTCTGCCCTGCGCTCACCCTCCCCTGTCTCCAGTATCCCTCTCTCCAGCATCGTTCCCAGGAGCCCTTTGGGATCCTGGCAGGGCAGAACGGATGCTCCGGTGTAAAACGGACGAGGCCCTGGCCCTGCCCCTGCCCCGGTGCATTTACCCCAGCCCCACACATCGGAAATGGCCCCCGGGGGCCTGATCCTGCCCCAGCTCCACCACCGGCATCCAGCGCTGAGCCCTTCCTGAGGAGGAGCTGGGGCCACAGCGGCGGAGCGGGGACGGGAGGAGGCGGCTTTGTGCGGGTCAGGGCAGGGCCCCCCCGGCGCTGCGGGGGACGGGGGGGGGAGCTCTGCCCTTTGTCTGCAGCGGCGGCAGCGCCAGCCGGGGGGGGCTGCGCTGTCTGGAGCGCATGGCCCGGCTCCAAGCCCTTGTTGTGGCAGCAGCAGCAGCAGGAGCGGTGCCAGGCAGCGAGGGCACAGGGAGGGGGGGGCCATGGCCTCGCCTGCTCCGGGTGGGGATGGGGACTCTGCGTGCTCACCCCATCCCCGTGTGCCAGCATCCCCTGAGCCAGGGACCGAGCCGGCCCCATGCATGGAGAGGGCACTGTCACCCCCCCCAGAGCCCTGCATGGGGCCCCCAGGCAGGACCCACAGCCCTGGGGGGGGGGGTACCAATGAGCAGGGCTGGGTGCTCCCCCCAGGCCCAGCGCCACAGAGCTGATCAACCCCACTAAAAGTAAGTGGCTCTGAGAGGCAGCAGGGCTGCAGCCCCGAGGCGGGGAGATGGGCTCCGGGGGCCCTGCGAGGAGGCAGGAGAGGGGACGCAGCCCCCGTGGGCTGCCCTGTCCAAACCCCCCTTCCAGCCAGCGCTGGCTGGCTCCCGCTGAGGTGGCAAGCGGAGGATGCAGCCGTTCCAGGCCATGCTCATGGGGCAGAGTGCCAGGGGCAGGATAGGGCCCTGGCTGAGGGCACGCTGTCTGCATGAGGCTGTGCACAAAGGGCACGCGTGGCCCAGGAGCGGGTCCATGGGCACATCTGGCCTCACAGCTGCACCATTTGGAGCTGCACAGCTCATGAATAACCATGAATATGCATGAGGGGGGCAGCCAATGGCTGCAGAGCGCCGGCAGCTGCCACCCTGCGCCATGAACTTCTCCTGACATTTGTTTTCCCAACCCTTCCTGGTCCTTGGTGGGGGGGTCAAGACTCCCCCAAAGCCAAGCCCAGCACCTCAAAACTCACCTCAGGGACCCCTCAGCCCTGCCTGGCTCCTCTCTGCTGCCCAGGGCAGGATCAGCCCCATAGCGAGAGGTGCAATAACCCCCTCTGGGCCCTAGAGCCATGGCTCTGCACTGAGCCGGGGCTGGGCTCAGCTGGCTCTGCCCATGCAGCGAGGCCAGACACTGCCACCACGCAGCCAGTCCCTTCCACTTCATCTTTATTTCAAGTCAGAGCACGTCGGCTCTGCCTTCACCAGTGCTGAGAGGGGAGGAAGGAGGTGCAGGGGAGCACGGGGAGAGGCAATAGGAGTAGCAAGAGCCCGAGCGCTGCTGGACGCTGACCCTGAGGCAGTTTGCATGCTCCTGCTTTCCCAGCTAACTGGATCCTGGCTGGGAGGATGCCCCATGCCATCAGTGTGCAAGGAAGGAGTCTATGGAAGGGGCATCCCCTCAGAAGAGCAGGAGAGAAAAACCTCATTCGCTTGCCCCATGCTCATCTCTGCTCATCCCAGTGCAGGCAACCTGCAGAGTGAGCTGTGCCAGGAGGACACAGACACGGATACGGGATCTGCATCCCACGTGCGGGCACCAGCCCCAGGCGCTGCACAGCGCGGCTGTCGCCGGGGACATGCAGCTTCCCCTGCCTGCAGTATGAGGGGAACACAAGGGACTAAACTGCAGCGCCCTCCCCTGTTCCACAAGGAAAATCCTTCCTCCATCATGCTGGATGTGAGCCAGAGCATCCCCCCAACACCCCAGGCCAGGGACACCCCAAGAACACAGAGCCCCTGAGCCCTGCTGCTGCTCCAGACCGAGAGCAAAGGCCATGGGAAGAACAAACACGGGTTGCACTAACCACTACATCTCCTCTCCAAAGAGGAGAGCGACAGGAACGCACTGCCTGGGGACATCAAGGACAGGCGAGAGCCAGCAGGGAGAGAGCATGGGAGCCCCTGCCCCTGCAGAGCCCCAGTGCCTCCATCCTGCCCAGCCCTGGCTCGGCCGCAGTCCCTCTTCCAGCGAGGGCTGCAGGGCAGGGGGAGGTCTCCAGCGCCGGTTACTGCTCCTCATGCCCTGCTCCCAGCGGCTCCTCCGGGCTGTCCGAGTGCGGCTCGTCCATGCCGAAGTCGCTCCAGTACGGGAAGCTCTCCAGGCAGCTCGGCCCTTGAGGGCTTCCCAGGCCGGCACAGCTGGGAAGAGAGGAAGGGATGTGGGAATGACGCAGGGCTGAGGTGCCCGCCTGTCTCCAAGACAACGGCTGCCTCCCCGCCACAACCTCAGCTCCCAGCCGCTCGCCCTCGCACGCAAACCCCGAGCAGCAGAGGGGGAAGGTGCCAGCAGGCAGAGGCAGCCGGGGCTGCAGCCCCGAGGGATGGACAGAGCCACCCTGCCTGGGTACCCGTGCCTGGCCCTGCGCTGCTGCTCACCCCCAAAGCCCTTCCTGAAGCCAGAAGGGCTCTGGTTCAAGCAGGTCTCTCCCTGGAGTCCAGACAAACCCCCCAGGGAGATGCCTGATAAATGCCCCAGCAGGCAGCAAGCTCTGTGAAGCTCTGATGGGCACAAGGAACTGCAGAGCCCGCTCATGCTGGGAGGACGAAGGCAAGATGCGCAGAAAGCTCTGGAAGCCTCCAAAGGCTCCTCACTCTCCAGAGATTAAGGGAGGAGAGAAGCTGAAGACCTTTGTAAATCTCAGCTTAAGGTCTGAGAGACCCAAGCTCTTTCCTTGCCCACGGCCAGGGCAGGTCACCCTCCTGGTGTGCAGCACAGGAGGCTGCTGGTGACAGCCCAGGATGCCCAGCTCCGATGGCCTAACCCCCAGGGACGCAGGGCACGTGCTCAATGCATTCCCTTAAGTGCCTGGGACAGGGAAACTCCAAACCATGCAGGGGGCTCCAGGCAGCTCCTTGGCTCGCTCCTGCCTTACCTGCCCTGCAGGTCCCCCCCCGGCAGCAGCGCGGGGCGGCTCTCCTCCTCCTGCACCCAGCCACAGTTGGACATGGCATAGTGCAGGATGGCTTCCGTCACCGTCTGCGGGCCCTGGCCTTGCACACACGCCTCTATCTCGGGCACCGAGAGCTGGCTCTGCAGGAAGAGGTGCAGGCGGCTGTCGGAGAGGAGCACCACGTTCTGCACCACCCTGCGCACACAGAGAGGAGGGCGGCTGAGGTGGGAGCACCACGGGGTGCCCACCCCGCCAAGGGGACCCAGCTCCACTGTCACCTCCCCAGGCAGCAGCCCCGAAGCCCGGCTGGAGCAGCGGGTCCTGTGCCCTCCCCTCCAGCCCTCAGCAATGCTCCACTCACTTCTCCAGGAACTGCTGCAGGCCCTGTCTCCGCTTCTCGATGAACTCATCCGTGCTGCCCACAAAGAAGGTGGATTTCCCGGGCAGCTCTGGGACAGGCCTGCAGGGACAGAGCAGAACCACATCACCCCGGAGCAAGGAGACACAGGGGGCCCCCAGGAGCTCAGCTATCCCATGTTAGTGCCTGGAGTTTCTATCCACACCTGTCCCGAGTTCACGGGGGTCAATGGGAAACGGTGTCTGGCTGCAGGAAGGGGAAAGGAGGGAGAACAAGGCACGGGCATGCTTACACCAGGCCAGCATTCTTCTGGAGCTGCCTCCTCAGCCACACGAATTCACGGTACCGGCGCCGCACACACGAGGTCTTGGCAGTGAAGGCCTTGCTGTTGGTCTGCAGAACAACCCCAAAACATGGGAATAACCCACATGACATGGGAATAATCCACGTGCTCGAGGCGCAGCAAAGCAGAGGAAGGCAGGAGCTTGCAAGCACAGAGCACAGGGACTAAGGGATCCCCTCGAAGCAATGAGGTTTGGAAGAGCTCAAAGTGCCTTGAAAAGCTGAGCAGGCTCCAGGGGAGAAGCTGAGTCTCAGACCTGCACAGGAGGAGGGTGCTGAGGGCTCCCCCTTCAGAGCCCCTTCCGTCCTTGCTCAGCACAGCCACCCATGGCCACACAAACGCACTCAGGAGCCTCACGACCCAGCTCTGGAGCTCACCCCTGTCCCACAGCCACAACTCACGTGGAGGAAGATCTTGTAATCCACATAGGAATTCCAGGAGCCTTCATTCTGCACCCGAGGGTCCTGGACACGCACCGTGGTCAGCTCCTAAGGCACAAGCACTGCCTGAGGGGGGCCACTGTCACCAGCTGCCCCCCATACCCTGCCCAGCACCCAGCAGCCCTCGCCCCAGCGAGGAGCACAGAGAGCCCAGGTCGGAAAGGTTCTTACTTCCTCTCGGTTCTCCAACATCCTAAAGCCAGAGCCCAGCGGGAAACATCTGGAGGGAGAAAACAGAAGGATTTAGGAAGCCAGGTTCAACACATGGGGGTCTCACAGGGACTCTGCCTCTCTCAGCATTGTCCTATCCCGTAGGCAGCTCTCCAGCCCCCATGGCCACGCTCTCTGCCTGCTCCTCTCCTTTCAGTCACCACATCAAGAGGATGCATTCAAGCCCACAGTGAAGAGAGCATCCAGTTCCACCACTGTGTGCTCCTGCAGGACTTCCTGTTCTGCACCATCATCACAGCGGCAAGGCTTGGAGAAAGGGGGGGAACAGCAAGATAACCCCCACAGCCCCAAGAAAAGCACAATCCAGCCAGTGGAAGCCTTTCAGAGAGGGTCCCTCCCACCCCACAGACACCTTGTGTGCACACAGAGCAGGAAGACTCATCAGGGGGAGCTGGAAGACCAAACATATCCCATGGCCTGGCTTCACCTCGGCTGTGGGATGGGTTGGAGGTGGTTTTGGAGCTCCTGGGCTGAGGCAGCAGCACTCTGTGCTCATGGAGCAACCCTTCACCTGTTCCCCATTCCTGGAGCCGTGCCTTTTGGGCCATGGGAGCTGCCAAGTGCCAGGCAGCACTGGAGAGCCAGCCTTTATTTATACGCTCAGATGCGAAGCGAAGCTCTTGTGAAGACAGAGCTAATTTTAGCTGGGACACGGGGAGGGGCTGAGCCACAAACCACGCTGGAAAAATCCCGCTCCACCGGTTTGCAGGTGCTCTCCATAGGCCTGGAGCCACCCCATCCCATAGCACACAACGCCTTAATGGCAGCAGAGGGGAGCTCGGGGCTAAGAGAGCTAAGAGAGCAAAGAGAGCCCCGCTCCGAGCTGCCTCCCAGGAGCTCAATTCTGTTGGAGCTGGGTCAGGCCGCTGCTGTTCCCAATTGGAGCTGCAAAGGGGGAGGGCGAGGGGAACCTCCCAAAATAACCCCCAGCCCACGCCGCAGCACACGTGATGCTTCCCCTGGGGAAGGAGGGGAGCGCAGGAGCCAAATGTGACACCAGTGAGTCACTGCTCAGCACGGGAAGAGGGGGAGCTCCGGCCTCCCCCGTGCTAGGGGCTCCCAGCCAGACCCAGTCCAGCAGCAGGGCTCCACCATCCTCTTCCCTGGGGATGCTGCCGCCCATCCCGTTGCTTTTAGAGCTCCTTGTTTTGCGTAACAGCCCTGGTGAGATTAAAAATGCAGGAGGGAGAAGAAGGAGCCACAGAAGTTGCCTAATGGCACAGCAGAGGGTTGCCAGGAGGAGGAATTCGCTCTCCCAGCTATGGAAAGGGTGCTCTTAAGAACAGAGGGACCCACAGGGAGGAGGTGGCTCCCTGCAGGCAGCGAGGAGCCAGACAGGCTGCAGGAAAGCAGGGCTCAGGGAGTCCGAAGGCTCCCATCTGCTTCCATGCAGAGTTGCACCAAGAAACGTGTGATCTTATTTATGCCTTATTGGGAGTTAATTGATCTTAACTTCATAAATCAACTTACACCCAGCGCAGGAGGCAGCTCCCAGGCAGCTTTAAGCAGTTGCACCAAATCCTCTTCCAAGGATTCTTTCGAGCCTCGGCCTAAGGGACCCTGAGATACGTGGCTGGGTTCGGTTTTATCTTCCTCCCATTTGCGTTTCAGTGCTCCCAGGTTGAGGCTTTCAGGGTCTCACAGGGAGAAGAGCCGGAGGGCGGAGAGGCACATCCCATGGCCCTGCCCAGCACGGCTCCGGATGCAGTCCCCCGCGCTCGCACTGCGGACAGAGAAAGTGACAGCTTTTATCTCTGCCCTGCTATCTGCTATCTTCCTGCTGACTCAGACACGGCCTTAACAGCAGCCTCCATCCCTCTGGAACAGCGGGACCTGCCTGGAACGCTCTCTCCTAAGCAGCACACACCAGTGGCAGCCCAGAGGCCCCACTCCAGCCCCATGTCACGTCCGTCTGTGCCCGCACATCTCTGCTCCAGGCGCCTTCCAGCCCCACGGCAGCCTCTGCATTTAGAGGAACGCCTCGCAGAGCTCCACGGCACAGAACCGGGAACGAGCCCCGTCTGTTGCTGCTTTTGCTCGTCACGCTCGGACAGAGCTGCCCACAGCCGGCACCGGAGCGGCTCTCCTGACGTCGTTCCCCCATTTAGGAAGGAAGAGGCTCCCCGTTAAGATGGGTGCCCCAAACCCAGGCCCCGCTGCCCACCGGGGGGTGGCCCCAGCCAGCCCAGCGCCCCGACACCCGGCCCC